TAAATTGAAGCAAGCAGGATGGAAACACTAGTAGGATTCCACGTGAAACTAAAAATGCCGCATCCCAAATGGCACCACGGGAAGAAACTTTATTCTTGCTGTCATGAATATGTGATTATTAAACCACACTGCTTCCCAGCATTCCATTGAGGCTTCATATTTCTATGCCTTTGTAAATCCAGATTTCTTAATTTTGAAATGTGGCAGTAAATCTACACTTTCATCTCGTATTTGTGTAACTGTGCTTGTGCATGTACAGTCTTTTAAAAAAAGCTTAAATATTCCTAGACTCATATACCGATACTAGACGAAAGGAATAGGACAGAAGGAAAAAGCAGTGAGGAACTTGAACCTTTAGAAATGCTATTGAATTTCGAATGTTGCTTGACAATTGCACCATTCTCCAGTGTACAACTTGAATGTATGCTTGAAATTATTCGCATCTTTATTTTTTCAATCATTATTATGTCACAGGAAATGTCACAGTTCCTTATCGAAATAGGATTATGATGGATGAAAATGAGATCATGGTTAATGCATGACAATGTTGTTAAGAGGGACGACTGCATGTATTTAGAATTAAATTGTACAAGTTCGGGTTAGAAGTGGATGCTTACAATAATCACCAGGATTTTCTGTCTAAAATGTCGGCAGATGTTATAAAAATGTTTACCAGTGTTTTTGGATTTCGTTCATAGACGTGTGTAAGGTGTCATCAAAGTGAAATAACGAAAGAAGAGAGAAATTAAACTAAGATGTAAATTCTACTTGTATATAAAATTTCTACCTGTAATAAAGATCAATTTTTCCATGCTAATAAATATAAGAGAAGTTCAAAAATTCATTCTAAAGAAGTTAAAAAAAATCCATAACAGAAACTAATGTCCTATAACCGTAAACTTCAGAGATTTATATCAATGCACCTTTCTAGGAATAATTTGCTTCATTGAGTGAAGTTGAAACTTCGCAATGAAAACACCGTAATATAACAAATAGATGCAGAATAATTATGATCAAAAAAAGAAAAGAAAAAAAATTGAGCGAAGATATTAGTGAGAAAATCAATAGTTTCTTAATCTTTAACTGGTAGTGAAAGGCCAGCACTAACATGCGCATTTTCGAGTGCTTGCAATAAATTTTTCACTTTTTCTCTAGTTGAATGGATAGTGTATTCCCGATTTTCCAAGATGAAACGTCCGGGTGTTTTCCATGCACTCTGCGCTTTCCAAACAATTTCATTTGATGCCAACACTCTCATAGAGACGTCTGTATACTCAAAAGGTTTTGCTGCTGCAAAACAGTTACTATGAAACAATTACTGTATACTGTATTTCCAAATGTTCAGATGTTTCGTAGGTATTACTAACATAAGTAAGTAAGTAAGTTAATATAAAAACAGGATACAGAATTTGCTTTTCTGTTAAAGTATTCATACAATAGCATATTCTTTTGAAAAGACCAAAGTGATCAACTAACTTTCAATGTTTTTCCCTCCAAATGAGATAATATTCCCAGATATGTTCTGGTCTACTGATCTAGATTGCGCTGAAACTGGTTGTTTCATTGTTTCTTCAACCAGTATGTATTCTGATTCAGTGACATTTGCTTGTTGTGATTTCAAGAAAACCTTAAAAACTCAAAATACAAGTGAATTGTGAGTGTAGATATCAAAATTTCGGTTGCTTATATATTAGCAGATTTGTACCTATTGCAAACATACTGTTCATCTAACATAATTTATGGATGTCACAATAACAACTGACTCGATATTGTTACATCCTCATTGTTCCCATTTTAATGTTTCTGTCGATTTTAGCTGAAAGACTAGATGAGTGCATCATTTAGGCCAAACTAAAGATTCTAAACCCTAATGAAGCACCAAAAAGACAAAAATTCATAGTAAACAGTGCTTCTTCCGTATGCCTAAAGCATCGTAAACGTACCCTCTCATATATCAACATCCTAACCTTTCAAGTTTACACTGCGTTAAGGATTTTTAATTCGCTTTTATAGAAACTTTTCCTTATTTTTGTTTTAATGTAAATTACGAGGTACTTCTTTGATGATATCGTTAGCAGTGCTGTAAATACTCGCTCGAAGAATAACGTACGGTTGATGTCTGCTAACATTATGAACACACATCAGAAAAGTTCCGCTCATTGTACATGTGAATGGACGCAAATCTATGAATAGATTACAAATGAAACAACTGATTTCAAACTGAAGTTCTTCAAAAAGCAAATTATTCGACGCCAAGAAAACTATGTAGTTCAAGAAGTTTCTTTACTTTCTGAGTACTGCAAAAGATATTACCAGTTGTAATCTCCTTCTCGTTAAAAACATAGTGATCCAAAGACTTTATTCTATGAAGCATAGGATGTTGTCCTAAGGAACGATTATTTGTTTTTCTCCCTAAAGGAGATTGAGCGCAAGATGGTGACTGAATTGTTGACGATGAGGACGGTGTTCCGCTACCACTCTTGATTATAGAACTGATCCAAGCTTTACCGCTAGGGTCCTAGAACAAACACTAGAAGTCACTGGAAGCCCAATAGTTCACATCGGAATTCAAAAGGAGTGAATTTTATAAGATTTCATGTGCGATTCTGTCATGAAGCATAAACTCGCCGTTCCTTTTTTCCTGATGACGAAACGACGCATGGAACCATTCCAGCATGCAACAAAATCCAAGATCGGTTTCTTGGACGGTAAAATACGATATCTGCACTGCATATTTTGTTCATCACTGTTACTCAACACTTCATTGCTATTTATTTCAACCAAAACATATTCCTCAGTTGTATCCGCATTTTTTCCGGCATTTATGAGTGCCTATAAAAAGTTCGTACAAAATACTAGAATCTATCGTCCTAAATGAATGTTTAGACTTACTTAATTAGATCAAAACAGAAGTACTTCAAATGAACTGGATTAGAATACAGAATACAAATAAACCTAACTAACATTCATACCATTTGTACGACATTCTTCACTGTGGTAAATGACTCAGCGTGCACAATAACTGGTGTATCGTCATTATACAAGCCCGATATTCGCAATACAAAAATCTGACGTTTGAGAATGGGAACTGCTTTTATGGTTGCCGTCTTAAATAAGCGACTTTATTATCATTGAAATATTAATAAATTAGTTAAGATAAAGTAATATAAATGGAATCAGATACTTCCACAAAGCCTAACCGGACAGATATTGAGTGTCTGAGGTTGCAGTTGTTGATCAGTATTACAATTGACAATACTATCTTCGTCATGTAAATAAATATGTTCTTCTTGTTCAAAATGTGAATATAGAAATATAGTTCCCTGATCCATCGGTATATTTGTGGGTGTTCGTAATGGGAGATGACGATATCCTGCCCGAATACAACGCACAGGAACTACTCGTTGTGCCATACATCTAATAAAATACGTATATGAAAAGGCGCAGGTCGCACTGAGGAGAAAATTTCCTGATTTTACAACACCAAATTATCTGTTCAGGAAAATGGACGAAAGAAATACCTGCCACTTGTGCTATCGCAGACAGCGATTCGTAAAAAAGCTAGATAAGCCAAAGAGATTCGAAATGTTGAAGTGTGATTCCAAATTGGGTTCACGGAATTTCGATTTACTGTTTTACTTTTCTCCTTGGCACAGTCCGCTGGTATTCCGATGATCTCCACTTCAATATACGTTGAAGCGCTATGTTGATTTGGACAAACATGCTGTCCTGATATTACCTAAGGAAATGGATATTAAATATTCAAGTTCAAATTTTAGCACGAAAAAATGACAAAAAAAGTTAATTATTGTGTGAGTTTTTAAATGCATGTACAAGCTCACTCACATGATATAAATCAAATCCATGACGAGAGAATACACTCTTGAAGTCGAGTTTAATCAAAACTAACTCCTGAATCTTCTACTCATAAAGTTATAAAGACTAAATTTTGATATTTTTTGCCTGAAATCTGAGTGTTTTCAATTAATTGCGAAGAACAAATCTAAATATTTTGCCGAAAAACCAACGGGTAACATTTAAGATCATGGACTGATTTTATTTCTCTTCGTATAGCTACTTATTTAATTCACCAAATAACGATTGATTGGAACGAGAAACAAGCAAAAATTTACCTTAATTGTATAAAACAGCGCAGATATTGAAGTAGTATCTTTGCAGAGCGGATTAAAACGATTATAGTGGGGATGGGAATTGTCCCATAAAACCCTCGGTTTCAATATATATCCACAATTTCCAGTTTGTTCGAACATTGCTGCGTTTACGGCCATTGCTGTATCAGTGGTTTGAAAATTCAAGGCAACCATTTGCAAACCGAATGCCCAATACTGAACTGGATTGAAGTTAGAGGAATCAATGCGCATACCGCCAGGATACGTTCTAACAATCTGTTCACGTGAATAAGCGATAAATTCCAATGGGTGTTTCCTGAAATGTTCAGAGAATCCATTTTTCTCAAGATTGTAGCCTTATAAATTTTGTGATAACTGCAGGTTTATAAATTTTTGAGCTAGTGAGCTCTATAAATGTTAGTTTTTGAAGTTGCAATAATCACCTTGAAAGCTTCCGGGCGGATGATTCATTCAGTGATATAACCTGATAGCACGATGCATTACTGTTGGGCCTTGAAAAAGAAAATCGAGTTTCTTCTCCAGATTTCAGTGTACTTTCCCCATTGGATAATGCAACATTCCGTAACCGTCGTGATGGAGTTGATATGGGCAATAAATTAGAACCTGCTCGAGTCATCCCCAGCATCGAAGATTTGGTAGGTTCTTCTCGTCGATGAACAAAATCGACCATACCAGGAAAACCCCAAAAAATTCTCTTTACCACCGTATGACATTAAGGGACATTTACGCAATATTATAAAAATCTCAAATAGTGACACATCACTACAATACACAGAATCATTGCGAGACTCAACTCAGAGCTGAACGTAAAGTCGTACTTAACGTTCAGAGAAGCTTGAGTGGCCGCCATCAAACAGTTAACCCTACCTTGAATTTGGTAGTCTGCATGTAATTCACCAAATCCGATAATTCAGGTGCAACTGGGGTTCCTGATATCTTCTTAATGGGCCTCTGCAACACTATTTCTTGATTAAATGATGACAGTTTATCATCTGCTCCCCAGTTGAATGATGCACTTGTCTAGTATTAAAAGAATGTTACAGACAAATCATTCCAGTGAGATGTCATTTATTAAACATGTATGAACTACAGAATGCCTAAATTATTCAGTTCTGTAACATCAGATGGCAAACTGATTCAGCCAATTAAAAATGAAACAGATAACATACCGAATTTATATCACTAATGATGCATGGTGCGCACAAATTAAAGTTTTTCCAGGTTATGTGCCCTGCCAAATTCCGATCTGTATTGCAGAAATATTACTGTTATACGTTTTTTTTTTCTTCTGAAATATTTGGGTGGTCAAAAATTTTAGAAGTTTAAACAAACCTCATGTTCTGATTTAGATACAGAGTACTTGTGCTCCTCTTCAGTTTCACCGGACGATTCATGCAGTGTACCTCTTGACAATCGATTTATTATCCTCAGACTTTCCGAACCTGCATAACATCAAAACAATTGAGATAAATTACATCATTTGAGGTTTATATGGAACCAGTAGTAAAATGTAAGCTGACCTGCTTCTTCGTCATCCAAATCATCACAAAATTCCTCAAGATCATCTTCATCTGTTCCATAGAATCCACTGCAAATTTTAAGCATTCATTATTTTTAAAAAGTGGTTAAAGGATTATTTTATCAAATAAACAAACTCAGTCTGCTCCATAACCGCATCGCTTTCATTTTTGATAAAGTACTTATCCACACGTAGTCCGGCACTTGGTTCTGCGACCATTTTCTTATTTTTAATTAAAATTTTATTCTGCAACTGCCACGGTGATGGAAGTCGTGGAGAATTACTATAGTCAGCTTCGAACAAGAAACATGTAACTAGTTCTTCACCGAGGTAATTCTGAAATACACATGAGCACTGCTTCAAGTGAAACCTTGGGCAAAATGAATTTTTAAAATCAAAGTTCAAAAAGGTGGAAATCGAACTCTAAACATTTGAGCCATTCTTGCTTGCTGCTGAAGTGAGCAATGATTTTCGATTGATAAAATAACAGGTAAATTGCTGGTAGCGAAGGCACTTTTTTTAATGATAGTAAGTACTTCACGAAAGCCAATTTTAGATGTCAAAGTGTGGCCATGGAATATCTGAGGCAGGCCATTTTCACCATCCCAGCAATCTAATTCAACGCAACGACAGCCCGTCAATAATACCTACAATTTTTTGCAAAATTTACCTGGAATATAAATTAATTTAATTTAATTAACTTAAAAAATCGTATATGCGTTTTTTCGTGTAGCACCAAATATTCAAATTTTGACAAATTTGATTGAAACAATGTACATCATTCATTCAAGTCACATAAAAGAAACGCAATTTTTTGGAATTACTTTGTTATTGAACTTAAGTAATTATAGAAATGATTTGATAGGTAAGAACATAGCCTTAATTACCAATAGGTATAATAATAATAACATTTATTTGTAATTCTTGTGTATGTAAATCCAACCTGGCGATACATTTCGGTGGATGATTCCCCCTTCAGCTGATGACCTGTGAGGTAAGTATTGTGACTTGAGCAAATATAGTAATAGTTTAATGGATAATGAAGTATATCCTGATCAGGTTTGATTGCTTCAGGCACAAATGCATAATTCGTTGAGTCAGTTATATAGCGTACAAATCCTTCAAATGAAAGCTGCTGACTACTTCGGTAAATTGAATTCGGTTCGTGTTCCTGGAAGCAATAAAAGTTTTCAAAATTATACAAACACGATATATAATTTCGTGTCATTACATTCATTATAAAACCTGTATTATTTTGATTGCATAATCTTCATCCACAATTTCCATTTGATGTATCTCAATAAATTGTTTCAGCATTGCAGGAGTTAAAAATGAATATCTTGATGTATCCGTTAGATCCGTACTGAAATAGTATGCTTGTTACAAAAATTTCCTGATATGAAAAAATTGTAAGAATTCTTTATTCTTATAACACAGATCGTAAGGATTTTTGCTGTTTTTGATATTTAGGCACTAATTGCTACCTTCTTGACCTTCTCTCTCAATTCGTTTATAAAAGAATTTAAGTAATACATTCTTGCAATTGTGCTGTAACTATGTACACATCAAAAATGCTTCTCACTTAGATATTTCATAAGTCCAAAAAAACAACGATCAGTTTCCAGCTCTTTTTTTGAACGAAAAAAAAAAAAAAAAAACACCTATTTAAACTAGCAAGAGCTAGTGCGTTGTATACCTTTTGTTGCTTCTCACTGATATGCTGAGTTGTAAAAGTATTCCTTGTAAGGACATCTGCAAAAAAGCGCATGAACTGTTATTAAATAATTCTGCCTAGACATATAAGAAAAACATAGATAGACAGTCACGATATATATGTATATATATGTTGGTCTATATCAAAATGTAATTTTTCTATGTGAACATCATATTCCTTCAATTCCAATGTTTACGCTGAATTATGAACCGTTTGGTATAAACTCAGTATCCCAAAGCGGTGATTCTATTTGTGAAAATTTTTGATTTTTTTCACGTTCAACTGCATTTGCGTTGCCACATCCATATGCCACGAGGAAATCATTGAAAATATCTCTAAAAAAGGCATAATCATTACTGTTGACATGTTTTCGTATGAACTCACATTCTTCAAAGCGTATTTTCTAAAATGAACTTACTTTAGATCTGTCCGCATGTTTGCATTAAATGATTTGTACAATTCAATGAATTCGAATAATGTTAAGGGCTTCTCAGCATATTCTTCACACGATTTCGAGGACAGCAAAAACTCCTTAGAGAGAGCTGGGTTTTGACTTCTATTTTCGGAACTTTTTGTCCTACTAAAAAAGAAGTAGTAGTAATTTTGAAATATTTCGACTTTTTGGTACTCCATGCTATAAAAAAAACAACTAAGCAATTTTTAGCTATGCATGTAGAAGGAGATGTTTGAAAAATGAAATTATTTGTTCACAATACAATTTTAATATCCTGAAATATATTTCTGAACAATTTGGAAGGCTATCATGCAAGTCATACAATCAGGGCTTACTTTTTTGTCTTCTCAGACCAGAAATTGGCTAAAGTTCTTGCTGATAGCTTTCTGGATTTGTACCAAGAGGAAAGACTAATAGTATCGACTGATGAGGAACTGTCATGTGATCGAGGCATTTTTGATATGCTTGGGTCTGATACAGTAAACTGTCTGCCAGTTATGCGATTTCGTACTGACTGGTATTGCGCCTGAAAATTTGGGTTTTCAGAAAAATATTACATCTGTAAAAGTATACCGCATGTTTCCGATTAAAATATTCGATTCTTTAAATTTCTCTCACGATGTGTATTTTAAAATGATGATCATTAACATTCTTCTTAAGCAGTTTCCATGAAATTTTGACAATGAAGACCAAAGCAGTTCAAAGTTCTGAATATTCAAAAATAGTATTCAGGAATGTGGATATTTAAAATACCTTCAAAGATATAAATGGTTGGGGATGAGCACTACGGTTTGCAAATTTCATTTGGCGAGTAACAGCACTTGTCATTTGTTTTAAACGACCTTTTGTTGCCGTAACCTCTGCAGAACGAATCGTTCCTGATTGAAGTGATTTCGAAACGATACTTTGCAAACCTGACAAGAAATAGAATATTTAAAACATCTTCAGAGATGCAAGAAATCGTTAAAGGTATAGATTCTCATCAAAATACTTATCTAGTTATACCTAAAGCTCTCCGTTCTTTGGCTCGGCCACCAAAAGCTTGTAGAGCTTCATGAGGCTGTACAGTAGATATCACGCCTTCATCGATCACGTTATCCTGTTCGTAGTTGTTATACAATTGTAAATACAGTTTTCTAAGCCATAAAACTCGTCGATCTGCGCATTTTTGCTGTTCTAGGAAGTAGTTTACAATCTGAAAAGCTTTAACTATCAAAAAATTAAAGAACAAATTTTAGGATATTTTTATAAAATCCTTTAACTGTATTTATTATAACTACGTAGTCTTGACTCCAGTAAAAAGAGGAAAATGAGAAAGTAAATGTGTCTCAAGATTTATTAGATAAACATAGAATTCATCACTAAAAACCCTTAATTATTATTGCATAATTTAAATTACAAACATACAGCTGTTAACCCAATTATCCAGCACTGAGCGCTTTTCTCCGGTGCGATAAAGTACAAAAATTCATTATCAGACAAATAACAACCAAAATTTATTGTCCAGCAATGCATTTGCACAGACATCTCTTCATTGCAGTAGCGTCGGTAAATGCTCTGAAAAGGCAGCCTTCGAAATAATGAATAATTCAACGTTCATAATGCTTTCTTTTTTGTTTATATCCTTAGATTCGTCTGTTTTTTAGCACTCATATCCTGCCAAAAGTCACGTTTACCTTGACTAGATTTTAAAATATTCCAGAAAGAAAAATTTTAATCTGATGAAGTTTAACAGTGATTTGACCTCAATGTTGATGTCGTGTGAAGAAACATTTTCAACAGATTTAACATAGGAAAGCTTTAAAAAGCCACATTCCAACATAGTACAGGCAGCTCCAGCTGGTCGTAAACTTGGTGATGAAGGAGGATTTCCACTTTCTAGTGGTGTCGTATTTTGCAGTTTTGCGCTTTGCATTCGTGTCACTGATGAGATATATGCATCCTAGAATGTATTTAAGATGGTTTCTCTTAAAAAAAAAAAAAAAAAAAATTAATTAGGGTGGAAGCTTTTCGAGAAATAAGCTGAACTTCTCAACTTGGACATCATATTAAAACATTTGAAAGATATGAGTTCATAACCAGCAAATTTCATGTATATCCGGAGAAAAATTCCTAGAACATCTGCATATTTTGAATGAAAAACCTCTCATTCAAGATTCTTAAAATTAATGAGTTAAAGAATACCTTGTCTTTTGTCTCCTTTGTTCCCAAATAACCAACTTTATGCCATGACAACAAGCCACAAGTGGCATCCAGTTTCAGCATACAAAGGGTGCTGCGACTTGTATACGGATCACAATGAATGACTGTGGTACCATGATGAAGCCTTTGGATCACATCCAGATCGAAACGGTTTGTATCCAAAGGTACCAAAGTGACATTTCTTGCAACACCTTTGACAGGTTGCACTGGATGATAACCCTCAAAATTTACGGTTCGCAAGGTCGAAATTCGCTGAACTTCAAATATATTCGTTTCTGTTTTGCTTTTGTTTTTAAGACTCTTTGATAAACTAAGATTATAAACATACCTTAGGTTTTGGATTTTCTTTCCCAATACTTGGTTTCGTAGGATCCATGACAAAACTGGTTACATTCTTATAATGGCGGTAAAACAGTTCCAAATTATCAAGCACCACAGCCACCAAACTAATCTTATCAGCATTTAACAAACCACTAACTCCAATTTCAGACGTACAACGATTATCGCGAGTTTGTTTATTCATAAGCTACAAAAAAGATTCAAAAACTTTTCAATAAATTAATCTTTAACTTGGTATATTTTTATTCGATTTAGCGTTCTAAAGGAACAATGATACCTCAAGCCTCTCTTTATTTTCATCATCAGTTATCACAACGCTTGGCATATCGTTTACTATTGCATATAAATCACGCAGGAAGATACCAAAAAAAGGAATCAGCCTGCACTGTGGCATGCGTAAAGCTCTTTGAATCGCTTCTCGATAAATACTCGACAAAGCAGCCTGATTACTGGGTAACAGAGCATCACAAAGCTGTAAATTTTGCACAACACCGTAGTTTTTCTTTTCTTTCCAGTAATCAAAAAATAATACCAAGGTAACACCAAAAAATAACATCAAATTTTTGAAGTGATATAAAGTTTATTAAACGATTTTCCGCTTTCCTCTAGATGAAATTTTTCAACAAAGGACCTGTTCATATTTATTCTTTTCCTCAGATCTTATTGACAACCAAAATGATCGCAATTTTTCACTTTTCAGTCCCATCAGAATTTCAACGGCTGCGTTGAAATTGCCTAAAGATAAAAAACATTAACCATTTTCTGTTTTTATTCCGCTTTGACTTATTCTTTTGTATTTCTTTTTCAATTTACATTATTCTTTTTCCAAACAAAAAGCAATACAAACATGTAGATAAAAAAAAAAAACACCTAAACACATAGATAAGTCTTCTCTAAATACCTTATCCTTTAAAAAAATGGAGGAAATACAAATAATTTAATGTTGTATTAAGGTGAACCCAATATTCAAAATTTAATCAGAACTTAAAAGAAAAAAACATTTAAAAAAATCACTGTCAAAGACTAATACTTACTTATTGAATCTTAAATCCTTTAACAAACATCCCTATGAATTTCTACAACTCATTTTCGTAACTGATGCAAACAGCATGTGTTTCGTTTTTTTTTTTTTTTTTTAAATAGAAGTTTTTAAAATAAATCAATGATAAAGCATAATTTCGAAACGAGAAATTATTTAGAAATTTGAAAGAAAAATGAAAAGCAGAAATTTGGGAAAGGTCAACACCGTTAACAAGTTTGTAGTAAAAATTAACCAATGTTCCAGCACGTATCGATCATTCGGAAAATAGAAATAAGAGTTATTTTCCGTTCTTCAGATGTTGGCATGCTAAGTATAAGATGAGTTACCCACGAACTTATCTGAAAAACGACTTAAAAATTGAAAAATTGCTGATAATTATCGTTATCTTACCTGCAAAATGCATACGAAAAAATTAAAAAATATTAAAATTTGTCTTATTGGGTTGTCTGTTCTTATCGGTAATAATTATTTTCAATTTCTCAAGCATAAAAATTTAGCCACCCGGCTAAATTAAAGCTTTATTGAAATAATGCCAAAGTTACGTTTTGCCAATAAATCTAATCACTGTTTTAATTGCAGCCTCTTGCGGACACATAAAATTAATGATTTAAGTTAATAGTAATAAATTTTTAGAGTACGTAATTCATTTACAACCATGTTATAAGTTTACCTAAAGCAAGGGATAAATGATAACTGTTGGATAATGGAGAACTTTAATCACACCTCAGATAAGCGCTTAACAAGATTTTGAACGGGACTTGGATTGTTTGCAACTGGTACTGAAGTTAAATCGCAGCTTACATAATGAACATAGTCTATCGGTTGCATCCCATAGAATAATTGATATTCGGTTGCTGACAACTAAAAACCTTGTACATTTAGCATTATCACATGTGAACCCTTAATTTAAACACGTTCCCCTTTTCAAAAATCTTAGTTTAAACAAGCAAATTCTATACCAAGAAATTCGAATGAAAAAAAAAAAAAGTTTTCAACATTAATTTCTTTTAAAAATAAATTACAAAACACTGAAGATATCCAAATTTTATAGAAATTTTATTACGTTCTTATACAGCTCCATTTTGTAATAAAAAACTATTTCTAATACTTTCGTAATGCCATCGGTAAAAATGAAGAATTATGGAAAAAGAATGGAATAATTTTAAAATGAATTTAGAGTCATACCTGAAAAGCTAATTCTTCGGGAAAATGTAATATATGTTGTAGTTTCTCAAGTTCCGGTCGAAATAAAGCAATCGATTCATCACCAATTACAAAATCATGTACTGTGGAACTGTTTGGATGTGATGAAGCTAAAAATAGCTGATGTAAATGAGGAAAAAACGGAACTGCATCAACAACAGTTCAGTGTAACAAAGAAATTAATGAACTTACAATGATAATGCATCTCAATATTTGCAAGTAACAAAAGTTCAGAATTCTATGTGATTCAAAAAATCACATCGCTCCAAGAGGTTCATGTAAAAACTAACAAATTCGGTTTATAAATCAGTTTTTTAGTAGTTCAAAACAAAATTTATCATCTGAATGAAGCCTCGGGAATTCCACCACACTAAGAACATAAATTCCATATCATATCAGTTGAAGATGCATAAACTAAGCATTTTTACACTTCTGAAATCTGGTAGATTGATACGGAACAAAAGTTTCCGAGATAATAAAATGTGGAATTACATATCTCTATCTCACAATATCGATTTTACAATTTCACTTTTTCTAAGCGAAATTCAATTATAAACTTAGGAAAATTCCTCATAATATAGTAACAATTGATCTCTAATGAATAATGCAATGAATGAATGGACGAAAGCAAAAAACAAAAGAGTGTTTAGAGAGATTAGAATTATAGATTTGAATTTGAGAAATATAATCAACAAATTTCGATAACGCTGAATGTAAGACAAACAAATTTTAAAACATAAGATTACAGTCTTTAATTCTGTAAAAAGATCAGTTCCAGAAATTTTTGGAAACTGAGCGGCTAACACCTTATTCAAAGGAAATCAAAACTGGTTCAGTGTAAGACTAACATAATTTTTTGAACTGATTATGAATTTTTTTTCTATTCTGTTGATTTTACAATTGAAGTATGAATAGAAACAATTTTTTGAATTAGTTGCAGTTCATAATTTTATATTGCAACATGCATAAACATTTTAGTTTTCTTGAAGGATTTTTGAAACTAGAATCATCTTCTATGCAAACGTATACACTTCTTGTATCCAAGAAAAGATATTCAAATAAATATCATAACAAAAATAATATGTAATATTTAAAGAAACTTTACCTAACTTACAGACGAATACAAGTAAAGAGTTCGGCTTTGGAGGTGCTGCATTTAAATGAATGGCATTGACAAGTCGTTCAACAACACTGGCTGTCATGTGGATTTCTACAGGATTAAGAAATGAAAAATTATTGTAAATACAGTTGCAGAATGAGGCAAAGAAATAAAATGAAACTGCTACTGATTTTCAAGAATCGTTCACGGGAAACTTCCCTTCTTCTTAATAATGAAGCAAAGGAAAGTGAGAAGTTTTATGCGTTCCAAATTTTCTCGATTTAGGGAACTCTACGGCATATAGGAACATATTGGTTGGAGAAAGTTTGTCTTTACTTTGTTTAAGCTTTATTTTTTCTTATATAGCTGCTGCAGCCTTGTTGTATCTGCATCTAAGAAAGCAAAAGATCGTCTTATACTGCTTCTTCTTTACTCTCCACCCCTCCCCTTAAACCAGTTTCTCTTTCATTTTTAGTCAATTTACTTCAAAAAGCATAGATTGAAGTAAAATATGCGGTTTGCATGATATGAAAAGAAAAAAAAAACCCAAAGAAAGAACGAAAAAAAGCAAAAGAAATGGGTGAATTTTGAATATCTTTCGTACTAATTGCTTCTTTGAATAACTCTTTCTCCCTGTCACAGATTTTTTCTAGTGACAAGCTTTTTGTTAAATTCAGAAATCCTTATAAAGAAAAAATGAAGTTTAAACCAGTGGAGAGAACAGAAAACAAAAGCAGTATTGCTTGAGATGGAAAAATACGGGGAAATATTATTCATCTTCGGTCTCAAGGGATATTATTCCAAACGATTGGACAAATTAGAATAATCTTGAAGAAATATGAAAGTCTAGATTCCATTTCAATCTTCACACAATCTTTTCTCAAGCAGAATTGTTCACTTCAGCTAACTTAAGTACTCATACCTCACTTCAAGAATGCATTACAGTCTCCACTGTTCATTTTTCATTATTGCTTGCTTGTCTTCTCGCAACAGTTCTATATTAGGTTTGTCACTGTATTCAGGGGAAATATGTCAGATGACGGTAAAAAAATGATTTTTACAAAAAAATGATTTTTACAGTTCAGTACAGTAGAAAAAATGATTTGCCTAAATCTAAGCCATCATTTGTAAACTACTGCGATTTTTGAACGAACACGATGATCTACAAAAGTCTTTTTTCAATTTCAACCTTTAACTTTGCCATAAACTAGATATGAAACCTTCGTATACAACGACCATACTGTAATTTTTCAATTCTGTGTTAGCTGGGAATAATTTTACGGAAGCAATATTACGTAAGGAACTTTTGTTGCATATAATTCCTAAATAAAATATGTGACTGAATCTTTTTTTTTTTTTTTTGTTTTATTTTGTTAATTTTATGAATACTTTCGATTTAATGAATTCTTTTAATGAAGGATTAAAATATGAGCAGAAGAGATTCTTTAGGATGAACAGCTGGACTCATTTTACATTTCTCAACTTAGAGAACGTTTTTTATAAGGTGAAAGCTTATTTGGGAGATTTTCTACAGTGTATTAGATGTACATGCACAATCACTAAACAATTCGAATATCAGCAAAAGAAATGAGAACTGAGGAGCAATAAAGAAAAAAAAAGCAATATTCTAATTTCTTCTTTCTTTTCTGAACTTCTAAAAATACCTGAAACTCTGTCAGCATGAAATGTGTTGCACTGATCACTGACTGCTGAAAAAATCGATTTCCAAATGGAGGAAGCAGCATTGTTCTGCATCATTTCCCATAAAGTCATTGATATCGATTTCACCGACTGTATACGATGATGCTTCAGAAAAAAGTAGCTAAATTTCTATATTCAGCACTGACCGAAATTTATGTTTTATTACTTTTTCGCTGCAACGGTTGTATATTTGAATCTAACTATAGAACAGACATTTTTTAATTCTATTCTACAATAATTCTCAAATTTCACTTTACTATACCTATGTTCCAATATATTCAATCAGTGGCTTAAATAAACTGTTAATTTTCTTCTACTTAAACAAATAAATGTGACAAAAAGATAATAATACACTGAACAGCTTATAGTAGAAAAACAGGCATTCAAAACAGCGAGCGAAATAAGTCAAAACGAAATTGAAATTTCATGAAACTTCGTGTTGCAGCCAAAGAGTGACAAAAACAGATTGCTACTTTTGAATTCCTCATGAAAAAACAGATTGTGAAAAAGATTCGGACATCAGGATGAAGCAAAAAAGACGTTAAAGGCCGCTCGCAGATTTTGGCACTAGTTTTTTCTATGAAAACTGAATTTTTCACTTCGAAACATTACAATTTTCACTGTGAATCATTTTACAGTTTCATGTTGCGCATCTTCTTGAACAAAAAATTTAATTGTTGAAAAAAATCTGAAAAAACACAAGCTAATGTGAAATGCAGGCGTAGAAACGTTATACGAAAGATATTAATGTATTGCAGTAATGTAAGTAAATCGGTCAAAACTATATTCCTGGATTACATAGGACGATCCTGAAATCAAGACAATTTTTAAAGGCACCACCTTCTGGCTCTTTGATCTAGAAGGATTCTGAATGAAATAGGCACGAAAGAAATTAAACAAGCTGTCATTTAGTGGTGCAAAGTTCAAGAATCAAGAATGCAATCTCGAAATACCTCCAGTAATTCATCATTCCTACAGATTGAACACAAGATTCTCGAAATCATTCATAAGTTTTGCAAATTGCTTTTAATTTACGTGCACTTAAGGAATACCACTGAATAAGAACCGCAGTTTCGGAAAGTGTAATACCAGAAAAAATTGTTAGAGAAAAAATCTGCCAAAAAAGGAGAAAGTAGTCTGCATGTCACAAATCCTAAAATATGCTGGACAATTTAAACAACAAGAAAATGGAGAAAACGACGCTATAATTCAGAAAATAAGATGAAATAATATTTGGAGTGACACGATTACGAAGAACTATATGTTTTCGAAAGTGAATGAATTTTTAGAAAACTTAAAGATAAGCAATTTCGCAAACTCAATAGAATGTAATAGCTAGCAAAATTGATTCTTTGATGGAATTCTGATGAATTACACATAATTGATTAAACTTTTAATTTTTAATTACATTATTTTACATATATACACACAAGTATTCTGTGGACAAAGTTAATTAGTCTAAAGGCTTCGTTTTCCTTTTGCCAAAAAATGTAAACTAATTCGGATGTAACATGAATGTGATGAATTACACATAATAGATCAACTACAGAATATCATTTACATCTTACAACTAACGCTAAAGATTTCCAACACTTTTTTACATTGGTTCATAAATATACGTCTTCAAATACACTAAAATTACATATGTCAAGCAGCAAATAAACAATGGAGCATGCGCAGTCAAAGTTCAATGATATGACAAATTTGTATCCTACTTAAACAAATAACTCATTGCAGGAGTGGTTGGACAAAATGCACTTATTAATATTTCTTGTATTTACTGAAATCATTCAGTCAGTAATAGATTAAGTACAACAGGATCTACTTTGATCAGAGTAAGCGTAAAATTTTTCAGGAACCTGTTTTCTACACTTTATATTAGACGGGTTCGAAACTTAATATACAAGAGGGAAATCTAAAACAAGACTTTCAGATTCAGTGTAAGTACAAATGCATGAGGATTTCGCAAAATGTACTAATTTCGGGTTTGTAAGAAAATCCTAGTATTAGAAGGCGGAAGAAGATAGTAGAAATAATACATAGAATATAAAATATTAAATACACAAAGAGAAGTGATGGGAATTATGATTAAGGAATAGAAATGAGATTTAAATGAAGTCGAAGAAAGTATTATGCAACTATGATGTAAGTAATATTCATTAAGGTGAAAAATATTTCAACAAGAATATGTATTAGGTCATTCCTATTTTACTGAAAGTTTTGACTTCAATTTTAATCAGTTTTGACTGGAGAACTGTAGAAATGTTTATTTTATGAAAGAAATTAGATCAGTCTGATTTCAGAGAGATTCAGAATGTTTTTGTTCAAACAGAAATGTTTTTCGATTAAAACAAGGATTCTGATGCGAGACAAATCGGTAAGAAATGCAATATTGCGTATAGTGGAGAAAAAAAGGAGGCGCTAAGATCATCAGATCCGACCTGTTGTTGTTGCACTGCTTTCGGTACAAGTAAGACACAAGCGCACAAAGTGAAACTTCCATTTTGTTGCACCTCAGCTTATCCTTGTAGACCTCTAGCTTAACCTCCTTATGGTTTTGTTCAGTCAGTGATGATTATCCAGCCATACGTCTGGCACTGAGTCGATCCTGGTGTATCGAGAATTATTCCATTTACAGTAGCGCGGTTAGTACATCTTCACTTCTCAAAGTTACAAGCAGTTGTTTTATCGCACGACAGTAAGTCTCCCTTTTGTCAAATGTATTTCCTTTCCACCAACCTGTTATCGATAAGACAAGCATCATTCAGCATTCCTCACCTTATCCTCCTCCCTTTTTGTCTGTAAAATATTCCTGAATATATTTTCCTCGCTTAAAAGATTTTGTATGAAAGCAAAAGCTTTTATTGTATTTTCTTAATTGTTATTTTAGTTGTTAATTTATGATCTTTTCCTTATACTACGTTTTCGTCTTTTCTGAAAAAACTTTTTTCAAAACTAAAGCCGCTGCATCTATTCATTCATTTGTGGGTGTACTTCGATGATTTCGAAAATTTTATAACTTGCTCGATTGCGTTGGCGAAACGAACTGTTCTAAACGTTTATTACTGTATCGACTTGCAATCATGAAAGTACGTGATTAAGTTAACAATTGAAAACTATGTACCTGAAACTTTTAAAATCTTTTCCTATTTCAAACTTCTTATTGGAGATCTGACGGTTAAAATGAGGATAGACGCACATAGTTCATTTTTTCGTCCAGCATAAAACACTGTTTTCTTAGTGTTTTGCAAAAAGAGATGCCAATTCCTCATGCTTCTTCGAGTATTTCATGTTTCTTAGGTGCTGGAATGATATTTTGAGATAAAAAAGTCGGGGGAGCATGTAAATTGTAGTGGCAATCATTTTAGGAAGATTGAGATATCTGATGTGAACAAACCAAAG